TGCATTGGGCTTGTTTTGTGATAGAAAAGTACCACTCAAACTTAAGGGAAAATTATATAGGATTGTGGTTAGACTTACAATGCTTTATGGTGTAAAATGTTGGCCATTAAAAGATAAGCATAATATTTAAGTATTGCAGAGATGAGGATGCTCAGGTGGATGAGTGACTTTACTCTTAGAGATAGGATACGAAATGAGTATATACGTGAAAAGGTTAGAGTAGCTTAAATGGCAGATAAGATTAGAGAGAGTCGTCTTAGATGGTTTGGTCACATAAAACGGTGACCTTCTGATGACCTGATTAGGAGAGTAGATGTATTAAATTTAACCTATATTAAGAAAGGAAGAGATATACCTAAAAAAAACTTGGTTATAAAATATTAGAAATGACCTTTCTTTATTAGATCTAAATGAGAATTTAACTCTTAACCGGACACAATGGAGAAAAAGGATTCATGTAGTCAACCCCACGTAGTAGGATAAAAGTTTGATGTTGTTGTTTTTGTCGAAGGCTTGCCTTTGTAGGAGATTTAAAACCAAAGACAAATTAAATCACATCTCATTTAGCTCCTAAATAGGATGGGGGAAAATTATTTTTTGAGAAATTAAAATCAAAATGATAATTATCATCATATTCAAATGGTTAATAATAAATGACATTATCTTTCCTTGGAAAAATATATCATTTATTATTAATATTGCGTCGTGAAACATTGGAGGCGATAGAGAGATAAGTAGCTTAGCATCTTAGCTTTGAACCAAGATCCAACACATGTAAATAAAAAGATAGGGATGTAGCATTCATAAAAGACACTAAAGTTTTTATGTTGAAACATATCAAAAGGGGGAAACCATGAGGTATGGCCTAGTTAAAATGATTATGCTAATGTTTATAGTTGATTACAAATGATGCCCTTTCGTAGGGGGGAGGCATTAACTCAATGTATCATATAGAGAACATTACATAGTTGGGATTGAAAGAATCCAATGATAAAAGAGCAATTCTCAAGAGAATATTGGTCAGCTCATTTGGTTGGCAGAATTATATTTAGGCAATGGAGATCAGAGGGACTGTAGTTGGTGGGTGACGGTGGTTGGAAGAACCATAGTAGATGGGGGATGATGGTTGGAGGAACCGTAGTCGACGAGCGATGGTGGTTGGTGTAATAACTCAAATATGTGAAATAATTTTTCTTGAAAAATACGAAAACTTTGAATTTGAGCTTTTTGGCACTGATCTGGTGAGCGATGCAGCACCAGGCCATGAACATTATATACATATAGTTATAAATATCCCTGTCTTGCTTAACCGACTCTTTCAATTGGTTGTTTGGCCAAGAAGATTAAAAAAGGGAAAGAAGAGAGAGGAGAGAGAAAAATCATTGGATCATATTTGTTAATCATTTCTATCATAGAGTTTATTATATTCATTCATTGCAAGTAACAATATTCCTACTTTTGTTTTCACTAACTTTGATTTATATGGATTTCTCTCTTAAATCTGTCAAAAAATATATTATCTCTTAATTTCATAAACTTTCACCATGTAATTTTAAATATATTATAATTTGATCATTCTGAATGATTTGATATAATTTTATTGCATTTTAAATAAAATACTGAATGATATTAAATACATGATATGATAACTCCATGTGATACCCTACTGATCCACGTGATTCACTGATTGGAAGTTATAAGGAGCTAGAGATTGATTGAAAATTATAAGGAGTCGGAACGACTGATTCATGTGATTCAAAGAGAGTTATAAGGAGTACATTGATTAGGAGTTATAAGGGACGACTGATTGGCAGTGATAAGTGCAAAAGCAAAATACCTTTAAGATACACTCATTGAACATCTGAATACTTATACTGACACTGCTACAAATATTATACTGATATTATTACTAACACTAATATTGTTTACTGACATTAATACTATATAACATTATTGGTCATAACACTAATATTATTACTAGCATTAATATTATTGATTGTTATTGATATTGTGATTGATTATGCAATGAATTGAGATGTGATGAACTATATAACAAATTGATACAAATAATCAAGATAGAAATTGATTCATCTATTTCTTTATATGATTTATAACATATTATTCTCTTTTTATCTAGCATTGATTTTAGTTGTAAGATTTTAGTAATTTGTTGGGTTATGTACTCATTATGTAGTTTTATATATTTTAGGAAATGATAAGGATCCTATAATATGAGACTCTGTACAAAATAAAAAAAAACAATCATGTTTTTTTCCACTGATCATTGATAAACTCTAGTTAAATGATTAAAATGAAAGATCGATGTAATTCTTCTAATATAGATCATGGAATGACAGTTAGAGAGACTATAGTCAGCGGACGATGATGGTTTGAGGGACTGTAGTCAACAAGCAACGGCGACCGGAGGAACTGTAGTCGATGAGCGACAGTGGTCGAAGGTACCGTAGCCACCGGGTAAAGGAGGTCGGAGGAACCGTAGCAGGAGGGCGATAGCGGTTGGAGGGGATCGTAGTCAGCGAGTGATGGAAGTTCGAGAGACTATAGTCGGAAGGTGACGAAGGTCGAAGGGATTAAAGTCGACAACTGATGGTGATTAGAGGGATAATAATCGACGGGCGACGATGGCCGGAGGAATCATAATAGGTAAGCGACAAGATAAAAGGGACTATAGTCAGCCTGCGACGGTGATATGGTGGTCGAGGGACCGTAGTCGATGGGTGACAGAAGTCAAAGGGATCATATTCGGCAAACAACAGTGGTTAGAGGGACTGTAGTCAATGGGCGATGAAGGACGAAGGGATCGTAGTCAATGGGCGATGGTACATTAATTGAGAAGTTAGATGGAGAAGTATAGAGAGAAAAAGGAATATCATCATATGATATTTATTGATTTAGAGAAAGCATATGATAAAGTTCCAAGAGAAATGCTATAGAGAGTACTAAAAAAGAAATGAATTAATAATGCTTATAATCAAGTCATTAGGGACATGTATGCTGGAGCTGTTACTTGTGTTCAAATACAAGATGGTTTGACCAAGTATTTTCCAATTTTAGTTGAATTACATCAAGGATTAGCCTTGAGCCCATATCGTTTTGCTTTAGTCATGAATTTTCTTACTAGAGATTTGCAAGAGGATGTTCGTAGTGTATGCTTTTTGCTGACGATATTCTTCTCGTTGATAAGACTAAAGAGGGAGTTGAAGGTAAACTTGAATTATGGAAGGCAAATTCGGAGTGCTCCATTGGACAACCCATATTGATTACCTCGAGATCCGTCCTCGATCAAAATGATTTTTGGCGATATATCAATTACAGCTTTAATTAAGAAATTAATGAAATACAACACGATTGTCGTAGCTAAATACACAATCGAACAATATTTTGACCCTTCAGGGTGATATGCAGCTCCTTGAATTTAACTCTCATAGTTGTGACGAATTTTATAATTCTATAATCTAAAACGATTAGAGAATATTATTTTCACCTCTCGATGTGATATATTATTCATAATGATGTGTTCGAACTCAAAATTAAAATCATAAAGTCTACATCTAAATTTTCTCAAAAAAATAATCCAATTGATTTGCTCTTTCCCACTAAGTTTGCAAACAGTAACTTCCATACTTAAGAGGAATAAAGAGTTGCAAAGCTCAAGAGAAATAAGAAGTTAAAGTAGTAAAACTGGAATTGTTAATCCTCAATGTATAGGCTAAGTATTTCCTAACATGAACAAAAGAATAATATCATAAGTCAAAATCAATTTGATTGACAAATATCTAACATTAAAATAAATATTTATGAAAGCTTTATGATTAATAAATGAAGGTTTTTTTATATTATGTTATTCCTTGCATACAACAACAACAACAACATCATCAAGCCTTTGTCCCACTACATGGGGTCGGCTACATGAATCCCTTTTCGCCATTGTGTCCGGTTAAAAGTCAAATTCTTATTTAAATCTAATAAAGAAAGATCATTTCTAATATTTTCTAACGAAGTCTTTTTAGGTCTACCTCTACCTTTCTTAACATCTAAGGCGACTCTCTCTAATCTTATCTTCCACTGGAGCTACTCCAACCTTTTCACGTATATGCTCATTTCATATCCTATCTCTAAGGGTCAAGCCACTCATCCACCTAAGCATCCCCATCTCTGCAACACTTAACTTAGTATAATGCTTCTCTTTTAATGGCCAACATTCGGCACCATAAAGCATTGAAATAGATTAATGTTATTCCTTGCATAGTAAACATTAAAAAATATAAGAGAATCAAGGAACTAAATGTACATTCAAATATCCAAAAAATTGGTTTCAAGCCAAGTTCCTCAATTCAAGCCAAGCTAACTCGGATCACTCGGTTTCAACATAAAAGAGACTTGCTTGTTTACAAGAAAACTTGACTCAATAAGGCGACTATAATTTAAGAACTTGTCCCAATCAAGTAAATATGACTTAGCAATCCACCGAAGTAATCACAACCTATAAAGTCGACCCTTATGATTACTTAGGTGAGCAACCTCATGGAAAGCTACTGATTTGATATTCAGCTATTCGACCTTCAATACATGTCAAGCCATTGACTTCTTAAGAGTTAAAACAATCTTATCAAGTCAAACATTATGATTAGGCTGCACAACAATTATATTTTTCTTTTATTATTTGTATAGTCATGTATGTAGTCAATTATGTAACGCTCAAGACCCAACCCAAATTTATAAATAGGAGATGAGGGTCACTTTATGCAATTTCTATAATCCTTTTTCTCTCTCTTTGTTTTTCTATTTTCTTTTCACTTAGTGTTCACAATATAGTTTGATGTGATTCATGGATAATTCTAGATTCAACAGCTGCTACTATTTAGTGGTCTAAAGACTATCTTGATAAAAGATAGTCTATAAATAAGCATGCAGTCATTCAAGCTTAGCAGCCTTTAGGGCTCTACCTCAACTATTTTAGCAAGGTAGGAAAGATTTACCTGAGCAACAAGGTTATTATTTTCAGCAATAAGATAGCAATTCTGGTCATATAGAGACTTGAAGGACTCTTCCAAGGCTATTACCTTCTCCCTCAAGCCTTCAAACTCAAAAATATTTTCGGACAATGAGTTTTCAAAAAGTGTACTTTTATCTGAAAGCTTCTTGATATTTTTTATAACAGCCTCAGCATGAGATACCATCACATTGTTGTCAGATGCATGGCTTAAAACATTTCCATGTAGAGATTTACAGCACTCCTGTAATCCCTTGATCTTCTCTCTCAACCATTCCAACCCAGCAGTTACATCAGACAAAGAATGCTCCAAAAGAAGATATTTCTTTACTGATAGGCTCTCCATAGGTCTCAAATCCTCCAAATTAAAGGGTTTTTCACCCTCATGTTTCTTGCATGCATCTTTCAGTTCTGTTTTTCCCTCAACCAATTCCTGAACCAATGCCTGAAGAGAAACCACATTGAAGTTGACTTCGACTATTTGCTCCATTAGTTCATGATGCCTTTCCTCTAAATTATTGCTCTCAATTTTGAGAAAAGAAAGCTCCTGCTGAAGACTTTTATTTTCATCCAGATGGAATCTTAGTTCATCTGCAATTTTTAGCTTTGACCTCCTTAGAGAATGTATCTGATCTTGTAGGGCAACGATCTTTGAGATAGAAGAGAAGCTTTTCTCATTCAAATCATTGTTTTCATCATGTAGTCTCTTAATTTCCTCTTCCAATCTAGTTTTATTCAGTTCCATTCTTGTCAGAAGTTCAGATCCGCTTCCAATCTCGAAGCCCAAAAGCCTTATTTTTTCCTCAGATTGAGAACACATTCTCTTCAGTGACTGATTAGCTATTTCAGCAATCATGCGCCGTTGCTGTTCATCCCCCAAGGATTGCTTGAGCTGATCCAACTCCTTTTCCCTCGCAGCAATCACTTCCTCATGCCCGGTAATTCTTTCTCTGAGTTTATTTAGCTCCGTCTGTAAAGACAATCTTTCCTGGATTCCAGCATATTTAAATCTCTGATGTTCGTCTTCAATGAATTGCTTCAGTTTGCAAAATTCATCCTCTCTTGAGGTGACTTCTTCCACTTGTTTTGCCACTATCATTTCAAGTCTATCAACAGTAGATTGCAAAGATTTGTTTTCTTCCTGAAGAACAATATATTGCTCTTCAGCCGTGTTGAGTTTAAAGGATCTTTTAGACATCTCAACATTAAAATCCTGAAACTGGTTTCTAGTGCGACAGATTTCAGCTTCCAGATCAGATATCCTCTCCTGGGAAACCTTGTATTGAAGAAGTGAAGTTCCCAACTCAGAATTTAATTTTAAAACAGAATCTCTCAATCTACATGACTCAGCTTCTGCTTTTTCTGCACGCAAAGACTCCAATTTGACTGTGTTATGGAGATTCTGATTCTCCTTAAACAAATCTGAAACCTCCTCCATTTGCTTTGACACAGCCTCATTGAACTTACTCACCTCCAATCTTAAAGAGCTATTTTCTTTTTCAAGATCAAGACATCGATCCTCTGCAATATTAAGTTTTGTTACTTTTATGCTCATCTCATCATTAAGATGATGAGCTTCATCTCTCCGTCGAGAAATTTCAGTCTCAAGGTAAGACATCCTTTCCTGGGAAACCTTGTATTGAAGAAAAGCAGCCTCCAACTGAGATTTTAATTTGGAGACAGCATCTTTAAAACCTTGTGACTCGGTTTCAGATTTATCTGCACGCATGGATTCTGAAATCATCTCGTTCTTGAGACTCACGTTCTCTATTGACAGATTGGCAACTTCTTCTTGTAGCTTTTTTATTTCAGAGTTTTTTTCTGCATCTTCTTTAAAGTTCAAACCTGTCACTAACAATCCCTCAGTAAGCTTTTTATGGGCTTCCTCATCAGTAAGCAGGCAATTCAAATGTTTCCATTCTTCTTTGCTCATAAATGGATCAATTTCATCAGAAGATTCAGCATTCCCAAAAGAATAAGATTGCATAGAAAACGTTTCCTTCTCTTCTTCAACAGAATCGGGCAATCCAGAGGGAGGTTCATCTGGTAATATTAGTTGAATTTGATTAGGAAATGCAACAGATATTGTCCGATGAGCTTGGCGAAGTGCCCCGGTAACATGATCATATCTTTCCGCTAATGCACGATAAGCTCGGTAAAATTCTTCCACCAATTTCATGAGCTCGGGGCGTTTCTTATAATACATTTCTGCTCTTCTAGCAAAGGAATCGGCATCTTCTTCTATAAGCTTTATCATTGACTTGATTTTGTCGTCCATATCTGTTAAATTTAAGTTTTTAGTGAAACAAATAAAGATCATTACACAGTAACTAAGTAATGATGATGATGATTATGATGATCCACAACATATGAATTAATCAATGGAAATCCTAAAGATATTCACAAAGAGGAAAGGCCTGATATTCAACGAAATCAGGTAATGAAATTATCTAATCTCTCTAAAGAACAACATTACGTTCTCTTCCATTTCCTGGCCAGGAATGGATCTTCTCCATTCCTTTATTCTAATTTCCAAAGTGTAAAGCATATAAGTAGAACTTAAATAACCAAAATACAAAAAGAATTTGAACAAACATGCATTAAGCAAAATGTTGAAGATTAGACATTACTAAAGAATGAAAATATAGGTTCTTGGGCAGGCTTTACCCAATTCTAACAAAATTGCATGCTCAAATCATGGTGGCTGGAAAATAAAACTTGAACAGAAAATACATCTAAGAAAGTTTGTATGCCATTTGTTTAAATGAGCTTAGAGGACATCTTTATCGATGAAAAATGTCGATAGTTCATTAAGCAAGTGTTCACAGTGTTTACCAGAGAACTAATTTATAGTATGAGACTAATATCTCCTTATTTTTGTTTGAGGAAATTTAATGAAAGATACTGTATAATATGGCATGAATGGAGAAAAAATAGTATTATAAATTACTTGTTAGGTTCTCATGAAGCCATTTAGAATTCTTTGGAGTAGTATGACTGTCCCACCACCATGAATATGAGCGATTGGATTCAGAACAAGTAGCAGACTCCATGGTTTCAGCCATCAACAGTTTCACAAATAAACTAGACTGTTGAAACAGAATAAAATATAGCTGGCTGATTTTAGCAAGAAGCAGCAAATGAAACTAGAAGCAGATAGGAGGAACAACAAGCTTTCCACTTCTACTGATTAGTATTATATAACATCTGCAAAAAGAAAATAAGAAATATTAGTTGAAACAAAAACAGCAATAGAGAAAATTATAGATGGAAGTTGCGAGAAATTCTACCTTAATTTACAATGACCTATAAACAATGAAAATAAAGTAATCCAACGTTGTTCAGTACAAGTTAAATCACCTGGACAAAAACAAACATACAAAAGTAGATGATTTGTCGAGATAAGATTCTCAAAGTAGCAAAAAATAGAATCGATAGATAAATAAATTAAAATCAAAAGAAGAAAGAAATAACAAGCAAAGATGAAAATTATTTCTTCTGCATTGGCCAATAAATTTTGATCTTTCAGTGTCTCCACAAGATTAGAAGACAACAATGGTGCTATCTCATACACTTGAATGATTTTGTGAGGGAATATCATAATATTCCTAAGTAAACAAAAGCTCAGTAGCATGAAATTGCTATTCCTCAATGCAATTCAATGTAAACGCGGAAATCAAACATTGCAAAAGAAGTAAGAAATCCAATAGAAGGTCTCCAGAGAAAAAGGAATCAGGACTTACCAAAGAAATATTGCAAGCACGTTGCATAGCAACTTCACTAGCAGATGAAAACCAGAAGCTAAGTAACCAAAATCCAAAAATTCTACAACAAAAAATAATAAGTAAATCAGCTGTAGCCTCGCAGCAAATAGAACATGAACTAAAGATCCACTACTAGGAACATAATCTCAGCTAACCAGCTGAGGGTCAATCTAAATTTTGCAAACATTAATAACAATTATAGAATGGCAGGAAAGAGCGGAAAAAAAACTCTCAACCATAAAACTAGATCTTCTCTAAAACACAGCCGACAGAGCAGAGCACCATTCAGCCTCGACAAAAAAAAAAATCTCCATTTTGAAAGTGGGGTTGTATGAAAGTGATAGGATATCATACCTTGAAAAAAGAAAAAAGGAAGAAGGCACCGACAAGCAGCTGTGCAAAAGATCCCAGCTGCTCTCCGCCACTCCCTCAACCCATTTCTACTGCAAATGAAAGCTTTCAGTTGCTCTCTCTATCTCTCCGCTTTGTTTCCTTTCCTCTGAGGGGATATTCGACTTTTTTATTTCTTTCTAGTTTTCTCCTATGGCAGGAGGCAAAATAGGCCAGAAGAACAGAGAGCAACGGAAAGGAGAGAAGGCAAAAGACAAAGAAATCAATGCAGTGGAAATACAGCAATGAGAGCCCACAACTAGAAAACCAATAAAGGAGGTGAAAGGGAGGAAGCGAAGGCGATTCCATACCTTCCAACGTTGTGCTGGGTGTTGCACCCAAGCGGTGTCATTAGCTTCGTTATGAAGGCACAAAGACAAAAAAGTACAGGCCTCAATCCCGCATGGGATAGTCCGGAGATCAATTAAAACGTGTCACTTCATCCGATACACAGTGATACTGAGTATGGGTACCGAGCAAAAAGTGATTTGGCGTGTTTTGGTTAAACTTCAGACGATGTCCGAAGTCTGCATAGAATAATTTTTCGTGTGAGTCACAATTTCCAATGGAGAGAAATAAAAGCCTGCTAAATTACTACCATCAAATGTTGAAATTATTTGGTGTATAAGTTCGACTGCAAATGAATCGGGCTTTTCATAAGCTATTCATGGTTTAGTTAAATAAGAACTCATTTATGTTCGTTTAATAAGGTAAATGAATAAGTTTAAACATTTTTTTATAAATATTCGATAGCTAAATAAACGATCTTGAATAACTTGGCGTTAGATTCATTTATGTTCATGAACAGTATCGTTTAACACTTGTGAACAAGCTCGTTAAGAAGTTTGATTAGAACTCGATTAAAAATATATTGGAGTTTCAAAAAACATATATTGTTAAATTTAAAATTTTAATAATTTATTTTTATAATTTTCGTCTAAAATCTTTTAGTAATTTATTTTTACTTCCCGAATTCGCCTAAAATTGTTAACAACCCGCTCTCTGAACAAGTATAAGATGAATCATAGATCATTTGTTCGAGACCAAGTTCATTTGGTAGCTTAAAATACTAATTAGATGTGTTCATGAATGGGCACATTTGATATGTTCGTGAACGAGCTTGTTTGATAGTTTGAAAAACTTTGCTAGATATGTTCATAAACAGACTCGATGTAATTGTTTGTTAGAATTTTTTGATCGGACTCATTTGTTAAGTTAATGTACATCTTGAAGTAGAGCTTGTTTATAGCTCGATAAAGCTCGTTTATTTAAAGCTCCATAAGCATGAAATTAATCAAACATGAACCAAACATGAACACTCATTAATTTAAATGAATCGAACTTAAACACAAACAAAAAAGCTAGAATCAAACTCAAACCAAAATTGAATAAGTTGATAATAAACGAACTCAAACATGAACACGCACATACTCGACTCGGCTAGGTTCGTTTGTAGTCCTAGTCCGAAGGTAGTTTGTCATACCTCATTTTGATCCCGTATAATTTGTATGGAATATAACATAAAAGGAAAATCTATCTTACTAAAATTCATTCGGAACTACTTATATCAAAATTAGGTTCAGGGAATAGCCTATCCAAACTATCCTAACACATCATTTTTTTTTAAATATTAATTAACATCAATATTTCATAATTGAAAGCATATTCAAAACACACAAAGACATACAAAACTTACTAAAGTTCAATAATATGACAACATTTATGTATTCAAAAGTTTGTCTATACAGCTTCTCCTTTAACCTCTATGTACATCCTTAACGTATATACACAAAAAGTATAGTCAACCTTCTTGTCTAGTGCTTCACTGGCTCCTTCCATTTTTTTTTTTGCAGTACAGCCACAAATAATGAGTTAGAGCTCAATAAAATACACAAGCATAGTATAAGAAATAAATGGAGATTCATATAATAAGCATAAGCTATACAAAACATCATTGTATATTTAACTAGTCACTTTTGCTATTTAAAGTTCCATATTTTGCGCAAGTCATGTGATAATTATAAGCTTTATAGCTTTCTAATTCAATGTTAGGTTTGCATTCCCTATTTTTAAATTTAGAAAACAACTCTCTCATTCAAGCAAGGATCTGAATTCCCAACTTGTAGAAGTGAGAGGACATAGGGTACCTTCTGTACAACTTTCCTCGTCAAATATTTGATCCTTTACTTATGCGGGTCTATCTCCTATATATATACCGGCGACGCGGACTCCATATGTAATAATTTTTCCATGGGCTGAGCAAGCTGAAGCTCAAGGGATTTATGATGTCGTTAATGGTGTGGGTTTCTTCTAAGTTGTTTCTTTAAGATTATCGACACAAATCATATACCTTACAAGGAATTTAACACTCATCATTATTTAAAAAAAAAATTGCTTCTTCCTAATTATCATTGGGGTGATGTTACAACCTTGGGCTTCGTTTGGGACGGCTTTCTTACTGCTTCATAAAGCAAATTTTTAGTGCAAAAATTAAAAAATTTATACTAGAAAGCTGCTTTAAGAAGCAGTAAGAAAGCCGCCCCAAACGAAGCCTTGATCTCTATCTGGAAGAATCAAACTTTATGAACGGGAAGGGATTGGGGTTGTTTATTATCCTGTCTAAGGGGTTGTTTGACAAGAAATAGGATTTAATTTGAATAGGATTTAGTACATCAAGTAAATTTGAATTTAGTAAATCCTATTAAAATAATATCCTGAAAATTGTTTACAATATAAATATTAAATATAATTAAATTCTGTAGAGCTGTTTGACAAAATAATTCAGGCAAGATTTAAGTTAAAACCAACAAAATATTAATTTGAGATTCCAGATCTCTTTTTTTTTTTTAACAAGTATAGCTGTATTTAATAAGTATAGTAATATATAAGCTTGGCCCGTCTTAATTATCAATTAAGCTCATGAGATGGTACTATTGACCTTTTTCAACCTAACCTTGCCTCCTGAATTTTTTATTAAACCTCTTGGCTCTTACTTATTATAAAAGAATTAAAGGGGTAATCTTAATAAGTAAATCGTTGAAAACGATTCATTAACAGATAATTATCTTAAAATACATATATAAAGTTTTATTTTAAATTTTTTTAATTTCTTGCTGTCTATTAAATATTAAACTGCACGTTGGCAGAAATTCAGCCACTGAAGGGAAACTTTTTTTTTTTTTAGTTGGAACGATGAAAAAGAACGCAGTTTATTTTGTTCTGTTGGTTGAGAGTTTGGACTACTAATTAAGAGGCATCAGATTTGAGTCTTGTATATGTGATGTGTGTGAGTTTGCCTTAATTGATCATGTTGTGTCCTGAAATATTCGTAGCTGTAGATAATGATATAGTTTAACGTATTAGCTTTCTATGAAGATCCAACACACAAATAGATAAGAGATTATGATTATAGCATTCATAAGAGACATAATATTTTTCACGTGGAATCCCTTGAAAATAAGAGAACCATGGGGCCCAGATCAGTTTGAATGAATCCACTAGTGTTTGCAATTGATTACAAATGTGGCCCTTCCTTGAGGGAAGACCTTGGTTTGATGTAGCAATTGTACATCATATAGAGTGCATTACATGGTTGGAATTGGAAGAATCAGTATTGACATATTCATTTAGTTGGCAGGATTGTAGTTGGCCGGCAGTGTAAATCAGAAGGACCGTTATTGCATGATGATGGTTTGAAGGACCTTAGACCGCCGACGGAGGTTGAAAAGACCGTACTCAAGCGATGGTGGTCAAAAGGACCGTAGTCGACGAGCGATGTAGATCGGAAGGATCGTAGTTGGATGACAGTGTTCGGAAAGACCATAGTCGGTGGGTGACGGAGGTCGGGAGGACCGTAGTTGGGCGACAGTGGTCTAAAGGACCATAGTCGGCAAACAATGTAGATCGGAAGGAACGTAGCTAGAGGGCGACGAAGGTTGAGAGGACTTTAGTTGGGCGACGGTGGTCGGAAGGTCCATAGTCGGCGGACAACGGTAGTCGAAAGGACCATAGCCGGCATGTGATGGAGGTCGAACAAAATTCTGGTGTCGGTCGACAGCTGGGTAAAAGTCCAACTGCAGTTGTTAAAAGTTCGTCAGCAGTGGTGCTAGGGTGGAGCTTCAGCCTCAGAGCTCTTCTTTTCTTCCTCTCCTTCCTCCCCTTTATAAGAAGAATGTAGGGCTATTTATAGTTTTTTGAGAGTGGCATGGTTGGTAAATATAAGGAGGATTAAGGTCAAGATGGGAGTGGTTTGAATGGGCATTTGATATTGACCCCATTGATCATGGACCATTTATTGGTCATTTGAATGTCTGAATGATATCAGAATTAGGCAATCCTGGGCTCGTTGGATTCGTCTCGTCGAGCCTCTCGATTCAACTATAAGCATGTCAAATTTGACGGGCACTTATTTATCCAATTAATGTTTTGAAGCGTCCAAATATGCTTTGAACTCTTGATTTGGGTTCATTTGGGCTCAGATTGGACTGATTTCGGTGTTGATGAGTTCATCTCTTCGAGGCGTTCAGTTTAACTATAAGTTTGCTCAAACAAAGTTCAAATGATCTTGAATTTAATTTCGAAAGTTTTCAGCTTGAATATGCTTCAGATTTGTGCTAGATTAAGATTATTTTTGGTGACATATCATGCCTAAATGTCCCAAAAAAAAATATATGTAAGAGACATTAGTGCTAATCCAAACAGGCAGGAAGGTTCAAGATCAGTGTTCCTGTTGCATTATTTTGCTCCTCCAATCTGCAGAACAATTTTTGTTTTAATGCCAAATTACTTGATGCAAATTCTAATTTGTTGTCTTTTATGACCTATTAATATTCGTTTGTTTGAAATATGATTCTGCTTCAACCCTTACCGTCAGAAATTTTTTTCATTTTTTTTCAAATTTTTTTATTATAAATTGTGTTGGTATAAGTAGAGTTTATTCAATTTACTTATAAATGACAGTCTACAAATAATCTGAGAATTAAAAGATAATGAATATGAGAAAAATTTAAAGAAGAAGTTCATACAAAGCACATAAAAACTAGCTATTTCAAGTATCTCGGTGATAGCAATGCAACAAAGTCAGTGACTTCCTAAAGGTGAAGATGCCATGGCCTTAGTAAGATAGGCAAGGCAATGCAGAAAAGGTCATAGACTGTTGAAGCTAATGAAGCCATTAATCTTCCATCTGGGTAGTGCAAAATGGCTTAGAAGAAATTAAAGGTGGCTGAATAGGTCCTCTACGTACTG